AAAGTTTTTATCTAGGACGCTTCGTTAAAAAGATACAGGGTGTTAAACTTCAAAAAATATTTTTATTTTTTTTTGAATAATTTAAAAACTAGTAAGTGAAATAATTTAAAAATTAGGCACATGTATTTCTGTAAACATTGTCCAAATGCTGAGGGCATTTCCTAAAATTTACATGCTCCAGTGGTGGAGATTTAGGGTATCGGTCTCATATTTTTCTAAATAAAATAGTACGCCACTCCTTTACGGTAACAACCATGATATTTTCGGATTCGTCTTTCAATTTTCTACAAATTACTACTGTCTTATGTTTTTCGAAAAAAGCCTGATTTTCCTGTAAAACTTTTATTTTTGGACACCATTTGTGAATCACCCTGTATATGTACGTATTTGCATAATAGTATGAAACATTCAATTATTTCTAATCTGATGTTAGGTGTTGGTCACATATTTTTTTAAAATTAAAATTAATTTTCCCAGATTTGTTGTTGTACATATATTCCTTTTAAAAAATTTTAATTTACTATTATATAACTTTAATCCGAAAATAATAAAACATGCATTGTCTGCCAAGCAGAACAAACAGTATAACAGTGACATTATTTTAAGTAAAAAACATAATAGTGATAGGAAAAAAGCTCACCTTGGTTAGGTTGCGTTTTAAAAAGAAACAAACGAAAATTTTCCGTTACTTTAACTACATTTCTTAGTATTTTAGTCAATACAAAGTACTAATTTTGTATTTCCTATTAAAATTACGCATGGTTCTTTGATAAGACAATTACACAAGGGCAAGGATAATAAAATTGAATACAATTACAAACAGATTTGTCATTGATTGCCTGTATACAGGTATGAGTTGTGCTATGTATATGAAATGATTCATCAATTCCCAAGGCCATTTTTAAATTGTTAGAGGCATGTTTTGTTATGGGGTACACAATATTTCATTATCTGTTAAGTGCAATTTGAAGAATTGAAGTTTTTCGGGTCAGTTAAATGGAAATAGAATACTGAATTACATTGGTATGTGTTTGGCTATAAAATTCTAGGAATATTAGCTATTTTTTTGCACAGACCTTTCGACCTTGCTTATCTAAACATTTATTTTTATCTGTTTATCAATATTTAAAAAAAAATACGATTAAATGTTTTTATGCTACACGTGTTACGAAATTAAGGCAATTGTTAAATATTTTATCCACAATCAGCTTATAATCGAACTTTTATCCACACAAATGAACCGTCTGAAGTGATACTTTATACACTAGTGGAATAAAGCATCTTAAAAATAATATGTCTTGTGTTAAGCGAATTGGGCGCAGAGAAATATATTTTCTGCATATTGCAACAGCATTCACGCAAAATCCTTCTTCTATAATTGTAAATTTTCTTGAAATGTCCGTCTTGGTGTCAGGTATTGAAACAAGTAGATAACTGCCAACGTCCTGTACGTCACTAATTTTCAAATTTGTCAATTCGCAGCAT